ACTAGGGAAAAATCATTTCACTACATTGCATCACATGTATATGTAGGTGACAAATAAAGAACCTTGAACCGTATGTGTTTATCATCAACAAATCCAATTGGTTTCAATCTCATACACTGTAACCAACTGAGTACTGCTTGATCCACAGCTAGCCATATTTTAACCATGTTTATACTTTTTAACTGAATAAATGTAATTTTCACAATGAACATGTTTGTACTGGTTCTCAGCAATTTGAATTCATGCATTTCAAAAATGATGCCATGATTTGACTGACAAATATGCATCACATTAAGTTTATTAGTTTGTTCAAAATGTGTAAGCCAAATGGGGAGAAATTTTATATGCAATTCAAATATATGAATCTTACATTTAGGCCTAAATATTTTTTTTGAGTGCACAGCAGTTTCATAAAGGATACTTAAGCACTTAAATAAAAATCAAAATGACAGGATACATAATAACAGAGCTTCAGTTCAATCACTGGAGAAAAAATGCATTTTTAATCTGACATGAGTAAATAAATCCAAAAGAGCCTTGTTTTCTGTGCATATACATAATAGACCTTGTTAAGCATCACTGATGGAGGTAAATTATTTCTTTTCACAGATAAACTTCCACTTAGAATTGCAAGAACTATCAAACCAATTGTTTAAATAGTTGAAATTGTTGTTCACAAGTGCACAGTTTTCTCCAGTGAGATCCTCTTTTTTCCAGTTATCAGGTTCACTTATCTCAGAATCTCTCCCATGCCAAAACCTTCAAAAGCAGAAACAGGCGATCAGATATAAAATAATATTCTTCCTTACAGTAATATTTTGTAGAAAACCAAACTGTAGCTTTTGTAAAATATGCCATTGTTGCAAATATTTTAATGTTTGAGTACCATGACGAATGACAATAATACATTTGATTTAAAAAAAATAATATTTTAAATATATTGCTAAACAAATAATTGCAGTATTTCTCACAGTACTCCAGTTTCATTGAGAGTTTGGTTATTCACCCAAACCCAAAGTCCCTCAGTGTCCAGATCATTGAGACCAATCCAGTACGTATCTTTAATTTTAGAGGCCAGAAACAGCTAAAAGAGAAAAGGTACATTTCAAAATCTTCAAAAGCTAAAAACACAGAATTTGTAATAATACACTTTTTTATGCTTGTGCATTTTGTTAAAAAAAACCAACAACAACAACAGTGCAATTCTGTTTCTGAATATTGTGTTTTAACAGATTAAAAATATAAAGTTCTTTGAGTGCACAACCAACAGTGATTACTTAAAAATGTCTCACCTGTTCTGTTCGGCTGGTTATGGTGACCAGATCAGCTCCTTTTGAAACACAGAAAGCACGGCTGCTTGACCAGTCCATTTTATTAGAGCTGAAGAAGTACAACTTTCCATGAAAAGATGTCAAGCTCATATCACAGTTCAAAGATTGAGCTGTAAATGCTGAAATAAAAGCATATGAAAATGTATCCATTCTTCAGACCATGACATACTTGAAATAAAAAAAATAGTGCAGAAATTTTCAAACTCTGTCTGAAAGGGTCTAGAATCAGCTCACCTTCATAAAAAGACAGTCGTTCTCCAACTATGCTGAAGTTGGCTGCAAGCTCTCTCACCATGACTGGTACAGACAGTTATGAAGAAAGATAAGTAAAATAAGTGGTTGGAGAAATGTATTCCAAAGACTGACTTGTATTTACTAAACAAAACAAATAGGCTAAATCAAAGCTGACTGAGAAGTGGTACTCTTTGTCCAAGTAGGACTGAAACTAACATAACTCACTATCATTAATGTGGAGATCTTCTGTAACTCTGGTGTAATTGGCTCGAAGTTCCTCAGTCTCTCTCACCATGACTGGTAAAGAGGCAGTTATGAAGAAAACAAGAAAAAAGCAGACAAAGTCAGTCCTGTAGTCCTTTCTCTTTATGCACTGTTAATGAAACTTTGCTGTATTGAATGGGTTAAAAAGTACTGGTGACATTAGTTTCCTGGGCAGACAGCTTCACTGAAACACTGACATCTGTTTAAAGACAAAATATAAGCAGTGATGTCACTGATACATCTATATGTGTTATGTCCACTATACTGTATTTATTAGTTATACTCACACAGTATACTCAGAGCACAGAGACCTCCAAGAGCAAAAAACAGAGAGACGGCAAAAACAGTCAGAAGAACTTCTGTCCATTTAGGTGGACAAAATCTTTCCTGCTCTTCAGTGGAGTTTCCTGTGGTAGAAATTTAATGAGAAAATTATTTCTGAACCCTTGAACCAGTACAGAATTTCTGTCTGGAACTATGCCCGAATTTACATTTGGTTAATTTCTGTATAATATATTTTTTAACAAAATAAAATTTCAACACCTGTGACAGCTTGGCCCAACCAGACAGTTTATTAATTGTACTCTTGTACTGAGAACACAGTTTAAAGTTTGTTAAAATCTGCCTTCATCATTGTCGATTCTTGTCTGAATGTATGCCAGTGTAATTTTAATGCAATCATTGTTACCCAAAAGATGCAAGAAAAGTACTGAAATTTTAGTTGAAAGGATCAAATTCACAAGTATCATTCTAGTTTAAGATTAGGTACTTTTATAATTTAATAGATTAGGTAATCTCTTAAGATTGACTTGGATAATAATCTTGTAAAAACTAGCACCGGTTTCCCTAAAGTTCTATGGTGACACACATACGAATAAAATATCACTTTCCTTTGAAAGGCTTCACAGCATCATGAAAACATGAACACTTATAGTCTGCCCACAGGAAATCAAATGGCAACTTCACACCCGTTCATACATCACTGTTGCTTTAGGCAAATATCTAAATATGCTTTTGACAGATCTATATATTTACAACAGATTCACAGATTTACATCTTATTTCACATTCAGCATTACATGTGAACTTTCTGCTTTCTTAACACATGACATTGGTGTTGGCAGCAACATGCTTGACTTTCTGAGATTTGTATTTATTTATTTACATGACAGTGTTGAGGGTTCAGGAATGCATAAATGGATAAAATGCTGTGAGCTGTACCACTGACGGCCTTCTCATTACTCCACTTCATCTCTCTGACCACTTCTTTCTCCAGTTCTCTGTCTGTTTACCTTCATGTTCACCACTGACTCGTTGTCTGGTCTCCTTTTGCTGTAACCTCTGCTATCTCTCCGCTATACATTTCTCCTTTGTGGTCTCTAACTCCCTCCCACAACTAACCACTTTTCTTCTCTTGATGTCAGTGTAGCTGCTGACAATCTCTGCCTTGACAATATCTGTCCTCTCACCCCCAGGCCAGCATGTGCAACACCCTCCAGCCCCTGGCTTACAGATGCTCTCCACAATCATCAAACCAAGTTCGGTTCTGCTTGAGAGGGAAGGGATCAAGACTAAAAATCCTAAGAAATATCTAAGTAGTGTGCGATATAGCATACTAGCCAGGACAACTTCTTTATGTTTACAGACGTGAC